AGCTGATTTTTAGGAAAAATGTAACTTTGCGTGAATAGTTAAAGGGCTTAAACTAAACCAAATTGTCTGAAATTTTGTACAGTAATTAAAAACCCGACCAATTTTCCATCTATTAACTCAAAATATGCTTAAACTTTTAAATTTTGTGCGCGAGCCATTTTTAGTTTGTTGGAAAAGACACACCCCCCTGGTTCACAAAATATGAGTTCAAGAAATTTTTTTCATTATTTTACATTATAAATACCCAAAGAAGCTATATATATAAAAAACCGGATACAAATAGGTGTTTTGCGAAATTGAGAGCAATTTCAAATCTGTTCAGTTTTTTTTTATACACCCTGTATAGTAAATGACTATACTGTGGGTGCATATGCCTTACAAATTGCAAGCAAAAACAATGAAAAATCTACATCATTTCAAACACTACATTCCCACTGGTAATTTTACTAATTCTCCCAAAGTCCATTCAAACGGTCTAAGCCTAAGGACTAAGGAGTAATTAAAGTTGTTAACAGTTTCAGAAAAGCAAACTCTTTTCGGGTTTTTAACAAAATGTTGTCAAAACTAGCTGGTGTCACCTACCATATATCCTGTAGCATGTGAAAAAGGGCGAGGGCCCGTTTATATGGTCCCGCTTACCCGGGATTCAACTGAATGCAGTGTGCATGACGTATTTTGAGCAATTGAAATAAGTCGCACTTCATGATCTAACAAAATTGCTTGTTACAAATTGTATGAAATTCGAAAACACATGCACGTATCTCAATTCCTCAAAATAGTCACACTTCATTGGTAAGCGGGACCATATGCATGAGGATGCTTGGTAAAAACATGTATAACTTTTTATGTCTTTATGACAAAATACCTGCGACAAACTGTGCGCAATGTGTGGTCACCAAGAAGACGTCTTTCCAATGTTGTCCTGAATGCGGCCATTTCCTCGTCCATGAAATACTCTCGGTCGCTTGGGGTAAGTAATCGGCCTTTGTGGATGTGCAACTATACAATATATATAGTACGGCAATACAATTTATATTAACATTGATTGGGCGCTAAACTCAGACTGAGACCTGAATGGCCATGCATGTTGCAATCTTATTCTTATTGTAAATGACCGAAACTCATTGTATAATCTCATTTGCGCGGTGTGGTTAGCAAATTATAGCATATTGTCTACAAGTGTTTATTTGAAATAAAACACAAAACTCTGATAAATTACCTCACTTGACAAAAGCCAATATTCATCCCCCTGATATCCTAGATGTCTTGCTCTATAGTACGTTCTGCTGTTAACCGCATCTTCTTTCAGAAAGGCATAGTAATCAGCTATGGTACTAGCTGTTACTGTTCCCCCAAGGTTTAAAACAGCAGAATCTAAGCTGCTTCTGACCTCTTGGAGGAACCTCATTCGTGAATCAAATGCAGTCGCTGGGAGTACAATTGTCCTGCGATATAATGTAAAACAGAAAATATGCGGATTTAAAATGTTATACTCATGCATGTTTATATAGAGGGACCACGGTAGACTCTTAAATCTAAAATGTCACTATCACTACAATATAATTAAATTAAGGGAACACTATACTTTGTTTCCAATCGTCCTTTTGCAACAGCTGTGCAAGTAGCTACCCAGTAGCCATGGTCCTCTTTCTCCTTCGATACCAATTGCCCTTGAAGTTTTAATGTAAAATCTCCAAAAATGCTGGCACCATCTTCGTCGATTACCATAGTTTTTCCATTCTCCAACACAAACCTCCGACCTTCATTCTATGAAGACCAACAACTGATTATGTACGTATAAAGATATAGGTATTTTCGCTTAAACATATGCACTTTTATGCTATATGGATTATGACTTCAGTTAAACGTTACCATTTCATCTTGATATTCATCCATTTAGATTTCTATTGTAATCTTTCTATACAAGCAGTTTATACAGAATGCAATCTGTTAAATCGAATGACTCTTTCGCCCCAATTACTCGTATTTATACCCACAATTCGCAAAATTGCAATGCAATTACTGATAATAATAGATATAGGTGTTGGCCGACAACTGCTTCTAGATAGCGCACGATGATAATATCCTAATTGGGTGGAATGCATGGTTAATGTAGGGCGGTTAATGGTAAGGTGCTAGCTGCCGCAGGCTAAGTAGATTCCCTCTGCCCTCACACGTATAGATGAAGACAAAGGAAGAATGGACCATTGCCAGTTTGATACATGTTCTTGTCATTTAATATTTTATCGCTCACAATTCGCGAAGCTTCCATTCTGTTATCAAAAATAGGAAAATTTAGTTTTATATAGTTGACCTAATTTATAAATACAAACCTGCATCTGACTTCATAGTATACGGCTATTAACCAAAACTAAACACTAATTAAACGTTATAAAGCAAACAAGTTTATTTATTTATTTACATTATCAAACAAAAGCTAAAACTAATAAACCTTATTATTGTTGGCATAAGCATTTTACTACAGTATACAATGATATCGGTTAGCCACATGCATCGTCACGAGTAATGATGAATCTTAGGTTACTGTCTCTTATTAGCTTTTCTCCGTTAACTAAAGATCTTTCAATGATTTTTTTTTGTCTGCGTACAATTTCCTCGTTCTGATAGTAATCCATCAGAAAATTGTACGCAATATGCACTTCAAAACTCTGCATGCACGAACTCCTCAACCGCCTCATGTTCTTTCGGTTATTTTGTGATTCCTGGATACTTGTTTTTATGGTTGGGGCTTGAATGCACAAATCAATGTTGTGAAATTGACATAAGGGAGATTTGTGTGGTTGTGATGAAGAATGAAACCTGTCGCCCAGGACAAAATGAGCCGATTGTTGGAGTTGTTGCAAGTTGTTTGGACTTCTTGCAGTAGCACGGAGAAACTCCCATGATGGTTGTCTAGAGCCAGTAGAGCCGTCACTATACTCTGGTGGAACAATGACAGGAACATTCTGATTCTGCAAATATTTGTTGAAAATTATAGTTTAAAAAGGTGCTATATAGATTTCATTGATTACATAAAACTCTTGGTATAGAGTGCTCAATGGATGTCCAGAGCATATATAAGTAATCATTTATTCATCGAAATACGATCGAGATGAACCATAGTCCTTCACTAAACAGTCCTTTAACCGTTTACGTACCCATACCACAAGATGGTTTTTCCACAGCCACACGTGTACATGACTAGGGCAGTAGGGGAAAAAATTAATCTTAATTTTTAATACTATACCGATTTCCTCCGTAGTTCTTTTGCGTATTCTGCGTTTTTGAACGTTAAATATTAAGACATAAAACCATATAATATGCAAACAATGTCTCAGACGTTGTTTGTAAGGCTTGTTTATTGTTTAAGGCCTGATTCCACGAGCGCTTTTTCTCAGCGAAATGCGAATTATTTCGCCTGTTTCTTTTGAATTGCGACTACTCGAATAAATTATTTCTACTTGATTGCTCACAATTCAAAAGAAACAGGCAAAATATTTCGCATTTCGCCGAGAAAAAGCGCCCGTGGGCCGTGAAATCAGGCCTTTACATGCACTTGCAATTTTTGCTGCGATTTCTAGTGCGATTTTCATCTTCTGATGCATGTGAACGAGCGGATGAGTTTTAAATTATCAGATGAAGGAATATATACCCAGAACGTTCATAACATATATACTCGTTCTCGTCCATCAGAAGAAGAAAATCACGCTAGATGAATCGCAGCAAAAAAAGAGTGTAAAGCTTTACTAAAGGTCCAGATACACCGGGCGCGATTCGACAACGCGAAGAGATTTTTCGATTTTCACTGACCGATAACTATTTGATCCCAGTTTAAATTTTCCAAATATTTAGAAGCGCCATAACATGCATTTTGAGTTATTTGATCTACATGTCTTTCAAAATTTGCTCTCATTGGCGGTTTTATTAAAATCGCGTCGCCGTTGTCGAATCACGCCCGGTGTACTGTTATATTGAGACATGACGTTTAAATATTAAAAAAAGTATATTTTTAGTCTTATGTGGCTGTTAATAGTGATGTCTGCTGGCCACATTTCAGTAATATTTTACTAATAGTGAATTGACATATATCACGCCCAGACTGTCCTGAGCTATGATAACCATCTAGGCGTGAATGTGCAAACACTTCGCAAAACATCCGTGCTTTTAGCGGCAATCAGAAATAAAGTAGGCATGTTGTCACATGCATGCATGCGATACAAGTTAATTAAACGATATCCTGAAGCCAGGTATGTCGACTATTCGCATGCATATACTCGCATATTTTTCCTACCATATATGATCAAATAGTCAATTACTCACTTCTTTAGGTTTTTGCCCTAATGCAGGCTTTTCAAAGCACCCAGCTTTCTTTCCCCACAAATTTTCAGCAGCTTTGGGATCCCTGCATTCAACATGGCGAACAAATCCGCAAGGGGTGTCATTGATGAATACGATAGGCGGATGTTTCAAGGACATATACAGATCCGCGGCATCCCTTACCGACTCAGTTAAAACCAAAAATTTAGAAGCAACTGTTGCCTACAAAACAAGACAAAACAGAACAAAACAAAACGAAACTCTTCTCAGTTAATATAATGATCCTTTAGGCCTACAAAAGTCCCAATTTGAAATAGCACAAGATGGATTCATATATTATATATATCTGCATTATATAATACCTTATGTACTATTTAAAGCACGCGTACGAGTGTTTCATCACATATAAAACACGACGCGTAGCGGAGTGTTTTATATGTGATAAAACACGACTATACAAGTGCTTTAAATGGCTTCAAAAACGACTCATCTTATACGAGTTCATTGGCGAAGTAATTTTTAAAATAAACTTTGTCTAAACCGAGAAAATCAAAGCTAAAGTTTATGCAAATTAACATGATTTTTTTATCACATATAAAACCACGACACGCTTATGTCGATTTTTCTTTGTGTTTTCCTCCTGAATTCCAATTGAGAATTGTTTTAACAATATATTTCGCTTATTGGCAATACGAAATACTAACAGCTATAACTATATACGCAAAAGGTATCTTTTGCCATCTTACATGCAATCATGCACGCATAATACCGGATGTAACCAAAGATGTTTTGAAGTAACATAAAATTGCCATAAAACGATATTTTGTTTTAAACGGTACGTATAATGGATGAAATTATAAGTTATAAGATGTGCGCAGTAAAAGTGTGCAATGCAAAACTGCGGAATTACAAAAGTTTGTTCAGCGCTGTAAACAACGACAACGTGCATGTATTTCAGATTATTCAGAACGGTTAGTTTTAGAAGTAGTTATAAGGACTTATAAAGAGTTTTATATTAACTCACCCCATGGCGGCAAAGCAAATGGTAAAATCCACCGGTGTGCCCAGGCACTTTCCCAAAACCATGACAAGGACAGTTTCCAACCAAAATGCTTCCATACAAGTCATGCAGTGTGCCACACAAGTATTCCTATAATGAATAAGAAGTTTCACAAAGACAACTATTTCATGCAGGACAAGACATGATTCCAAAAATGTCAGTTAGACATTCAAATGCATGTTCATAACTATAAGTGGCTATAACTGACTCCCATTCTTAACTCGGGTGGTTGCAGAAAATTTCAAATGAATTTCTCCTCATGCATAAACGTCGTCGCGGGGGCCAAACATCGTCCGCTATTAAGCCAATTTTCCCGTTGGCGAATTTGTTCGCGCGAAGCGAAACAAAAAACAAAATTTTGGCATTGTGGTTAATTGGATACCAAAACTGAAATCGCCGCGAAAATGTTGGATCAGTTCCTACCTATTTACTTTTCGCGCGAACAAATTCACCTAGTGGAAGATGGGCTTTACTCTTTAGTCAGTCAGATTGCTCAGATCAGAGGGAAATAGCGATAACCGTGATCTTATAAAGCTGATTAGAACTATAGCAGTGAATATATAACTGCATGAAATGATTTGGAACTTCCTGGGAAACGGCCAACGCAACGGTAATTGTGGCTTAAACTGCCGCAAACCTTAGATTTTCCAGAGGTTGGTATTCCACAAGCCATGGCTGCATCATTGATGAACTTGCTATCATACTGTTCAATTCTGCTCATATCAAGCTTTCCATCCGATATTAGTTTGTGCAAGAGTGCCGGGTCACCTTAATATACAGAATAAGTGTGAAATTACGAATTAACTGGTTAGAACAGTTATGTAGTATATATTAAATACTGATATGTTCAGGTTATACTATATATATGCTTCGAAGCTCTTTTTTACAGCAGGCCTTGATAATTGTAGATTATAATTATAAATTACAGTGTCCCTAACCTGTTGGCTGATGTGGCTTTAGATATACACTCTTTTTTTTCATCTCAGTGTTGACAGCAGTGCCAGTTAGACTAGGTGCTATAATAGGTGGTAGTTCCTCTATCGCTACTGTGAACTTCTCGTTTGTTCTTGTAAACACTGTTTTTTCAAGCCAACGTCGTCTGAGATTTGAAAGAAACTCTTGTAGTGGAATCATATCCTTGTGGTTCTCGTTATCTTTAGTATAGTGAATCTATTATAAAAATATCGTAAAACCCGTCACATGGATGGATCGTATTTCAATTTTATATAAGACATTTCATGCATGAGGCGTATTTTCCGCAAATTCCAATATAACTTCTAGTGATTAAACGCACTCACGGCACTAAAATTGAGAGCTTGTTTATCATGTAACATATTAAAGGCAGTAAAGACATGAATGCGGAGACCGAAAACCACATTCTAGCTCCGGCTGAGACCAAACCAAGGTTTTGCTATATATATACAATAATATTTTTTAACCTAAGGGAAGCCTCACATATCGATTTTGTCCATGAGAAACGTCATATGTTCGTCTCTCTGAAGACCCCCCCCCCCACCCCCCTTAGAAACGTCACACATAGTTATCGATATTTTGTTCTTACAGTACACTATGAGTACACATAAGGTAATATTCTACTATTTTTTTTCGGCGATGCTTCCGCGAGGAATATGTCATCTTCTGCTGACATACTCTTTTTTTATTAATATATATATGAACTTCAAAATTTCCAACGTTTCTCAAAACAACTTTTTTTGCATGAAATATTGATAATTTTAGCGCGTTTTTCTTGAAATTTGAGTGTTTTCAATGCATGGAAGGCGTAATAATATAAATGTATAGGTATAGAACAGGTATGGTATGGTATGGTATTACGAATATATAGACTGCTGTTTGTATCGAATTGTTTTCTTTTTTATATTCTGCAAAGATAAAAATTATCGACCCCAAACGAACATATGACGTTTCTCGTGGAAAAAATCGATATGTGACGCTTCCCTAAATTGCTTTGTATGCATGTTGCAGCAAAAATTTGGTCTAGTGCATAACTGCATGGCCTGCAATCTGTATAATACATGACACGATAATTATTTTTACCTGACGGTTCGTGCAACAGTTTTTTTCGTTGCCGTCGCCCAAACAAATCTCAGGGAAAACGCCACATACACCACAAACTACATCGTCAAGATTTCTTTCTGTTATCATCTCAAAGCTATAAAAACCATTGTACAGGAGATCTTCAATGTACATCATTTCGCCATCTGATGGAACTAAGCTCTAAAACATACAAGCATGCATGCACAATCATTAGAGAGGTTAAGATACCCCGATTCCGATTTACGGGTACGGGTGATATACACGTACCCGTACCCGTAAATCGGGGAATAGCTTGTAACTTAAGAAATCCAAAATACTCCGGCGTGAGAAAACCAATAAGAGGATGGCAACTTTTGCTGTTGAGGTTCGCCATAAATTGTTAAAAGCTTTGACCAGTATATGTGCATTATTTATTTGGGTAAAATGTTAACTATTTGTACTATTTAAACGGCCCAAATATAGTAAACAGGAAACACCCGTACCTGTTTGTCGTTTACGTGTAGACCACGGTTTACCGCGGGGAAACGGGTAGAAATTACGGGTAAAATTGCTGACATCAGCAAAAATTGGTAAACAAAATGGCGATACTCGTACCCGTAAACCGGAACAGGGGTATCTTAACTTCTCTAATAAATACGTTTTTCGTGATATAGATTAAACGGGCGATTTTTGCTGCGATTTGGTTGCGATTTTCTCCTTTTGGAGGATCTGAAGGAGTAGATTCACTTAATGATGTTGTTATGAGAATTCATAACCTGGAACATTTATAACTCATCCATGCACTCCTTTACATCCTCCAAAAGGAAAAAATCGCAAATAAAATCGCAGCAAAAATCGCCCGTGTAAACGGGCCTTATATGACATTAACTAAATTACTAAATTGTTACTAATTAAAAAACTTAACTTCTAATCGAAAAATTATAATTCCTGAATAAATCAAATTATTTTAAAGTGCCACTGCGATGGAAAATTGTGCTGTCTTTTTATTGTATATTCAGAAAGTATGTCTGTAGATAAACAAAATTACCAAATACCAGCGTCCAATTCCATTTCCTTCTGCCTTTTTTTTCAACGCAAACATGCAAATTTTTCGGCCGCCATTACTGAGTTGCCAATTAGCGAGATGTTGATTTCTTAGCCGGATGTGACGCCATTTACTCAACACGCTTCTTTCCCGAAGGAGAAATTAATATTATCAAAGGCTTATTCTAGGCTGTTTTTTGTTCAAAATTATGTCTTCTGACGAAAGCCACAGCTCAAATTTTGCAACACAATCATCTTGCGAACTCTCTTTTGCCGAAGACGTTTCTTGTGATAGCGGGGGTGATGTAAATATGGAGAAAAGTGTGGATTTGTGCGAGGCCTATGATACTTCAGTCGAAGCTCTTGCCACTGAAACGAAAAGTACTATAACTGAGAGAGAGCAAGAGCAGCAAACACTGTCTGCTGAATTGTCTGGGGAAACCTTAACGGGCACCTGGTACGTTTTGGATTGTATTTATTTACGTTTTGGTTTATATATTTGTGACATAAAACAAACATGTGATGGCCATGTTTAACAAAACAAATGGTCACTGGTCTCCTTATAAAAAATCATTGTCACCTCCGTTATATTGCACGAAACGTCTTCAATGAGAGATGGCTTAAAGATGACTGTGTTGCCAAACTGGAAATCCTAACTCACGTAAGAACACATATTAATTTGCACAAAGTTGTGGGAAATATATTTCAATTATATATATTAATAAATATATTATAAACTTCAATAGTATACTTCAATAGTAACTGTGTCCTGGCTCATTGTTGTTTATGTGAACCTTGTAAGAAAAAATGCTGGAAGAAAACATGCATGACCAGCATTTGATATTGGTTGTATTTGAATACCTTCTGGAAATATCAAGACTTTTAGTATACCCCCATTCCATTGGAAATCTTGATGCAATGGTCAACACCACCCCCTATCCTCTTGAATTTCCGATCTCTTCTGTAGCAGGGTGGGGGGGGGGGGTATGGCTATTTCCTGGAACTATGCAATTTGACTGAGTCATGTAGGAGTAATTTTTGGCATTAAGCATTCCCTCAAAAGGCAACCCCCAGACATATTTGCATGTTTTTCTTTAATTAAAAAAAATGACTACCAGGTAGGTTGGTGAAAAAAAGAGCACTCCCTACTCTGGCAATGACTGGTAAGAAATTCTCATCAGCCAGGGGCAGCCAAACTGATACAATGTCCATGATCTGAGTATCATATTCTGAATTTAGTAATGTTTGAATCCCTGTAAAGGTGAGCAAGGTACTGAAATATCCTGTCATGTGAACAAGAAAACTTGAAAAGCCTATAGCTAAGTTATATAAACAAGGATCTTGTATTATGAATCCTGGTGTTTTTGTGCAGAACACAGCTCACAAATAACATGATAGTTTTTGGATTACTAAATTTTAAAGCTGTCATGTTAATATATAAATTTTCTTTTTGAAAGTATGTTTCTTAGGGCAGTTGCATATCAAGTAGTGAAGCTTGTGTGGAGCTGTATACCAACAGTTCAAGAAGGTACCCCCTTCCTTGCTGTGCATATGCCAAGATACGGTTTCTGTCTTGTTTATGTAAACAATGAACATTTTTCATGTTTCGCTCGCTACTCTGGTTTAAATAAATGATTACAAAGCCCAGTCGAATTGTAATCAAGACCCAACGTTTCGACACTCCAGTCTAGTGTCTTCATCAGGGGTGATCTGAAACTGCGATCGTGGCTTCTTAAATACCCAAGGGATGACGTCACCTGCCAAGAAGATGCATATATTCATCCCTTGGGTATTTAAGAAGCCACGATCGCAGTTTCAGATCACCCCTGATGAAGACACTAGACTGGAGTGTCGAAACGTTGGGTCTTGATTACAATTCGACTGGGCTTTGTAATCATTTATTTAAACCAGAGTAGCGAGCGAAACATGATTGATATACCTGGTTGCAGTGAACGAACAAACTTTATAATGAACATTTTGCCGAGATATTTTTTAAAACACCGACATCATGCTTGAAAGTATGATAGTAGTAAAAAACTGTTTAGAATTTCCATAGGGGTGGGGGAAACAAGCTGTCAGTGACAATTAGAAAAATCTAGAGGGGTGGGGGTTCATAATTAACTAAATCTCTTCCATTAGCAGGGGGTATTGCCTAGAACTACACATTGAAATACTTAGTCTGGTTCACTCTTTTTCCCTTCGGTATACAGAGTGGTATAATTTGGTAGCCTTTTAATCAGGTTTTGTAACTTAAACCAGGAAGTTTTAACACCCAATGTTTCAAACAACCAATATCAAATGCTGGATGCTCAGTTTAATAAGCAGCAGTCATGCATGTTTTCTTCCAGCATTTTTTCTTACAAGGTTCACATAAACAACAATGAGCCAGGACACAGTTACCACATTTATACCTATGGATCATATAATTATATATAATTGAAATATATTTCACACAACTTTGTGCAAATTAATATGTGTTCTTACGTGAGTTAGGATTTCCAATTGGGCACACAGTCATCTTTAAGCCATCTCTCATTGAAGACGTTTCGTGCAATATAACGGAGGTGACAATGATTTTTTATAAGGAGACCAGTGACCATTTGTTTTGTTAAACATGGCCATCACATGTTTGTTTTATGTCACAAATATATAAACCAAAACGTAAATAAATACAATCCAAAACGTACCAGGTGCCCGTTAAGGTTTCCCCAGACAATTCAGCAGACAGTGTTTGCTGCTCTTGCTCTCTCTCAGTTATAGTACTTTTCGTTTGAGCTTCGACTGAAGTATCATAGGCCTCGCACAAATCCACACTTTTCTCCATATTTACATCACCCCCGCTATCACAAGAAACGTCTTCGGCAAACGAGAGTTCGCAAGATGATTGTGTTGCAAAATTTGAGCTGTGGCTTTCGTCAGAAGACATAATTTTGAACAAAAAACAGCCTAGAATAAGCCTTTGATAATATTAATTTCTCCTTCGGGAAAGAAGCGTGTCGAGTAAATGACGTCACATCCGGCTAAGAAATCAACATCTCGCTAATTGGCAACTCAGTAATGGCGGCCGAAAAATTTGCATGTTTGCGTTGAAAAAAAAGGCAGAAGGAAATGGAATTGGACGCTGATATTTGGTAATTTTGTTCATCTACTGACATACTTTCTGAATATACAATAAAAAGACAGCACAATTTTCCATCGCAGTGGCACTTTAATTCTTGAATCTTGGCCGGTTATACAGTCAATACATAATAACTATTATAAGTATAGGAATTACCTATGTTATTAAAAGTACTAACTACAGTATTCCAAAAGTAACTGACATGTACAAATGCATTTTTGCCTAAACTTGTTAAAACTACTATGATTATTTGCTGCTAACCTCTTCGCATTTGGCCGTCAGGGTTATAAGCTTTGCATGAATAACATTTCCTATAGGATGTCCCATCTTGAAAAACTCTCTGAATTCCAGTAGGATATCCAGCGAAACCAAAACTTTGTCACTGATGTTGAACAAACCTATAATATAGAAAGAAGCACGCGCGCATATTAGGAAATCAACAATTTTTTTCAAGTTAACTTTAGTTCTATATGTAATATGATAAATCGCATGCTGCAAGTATCATGAATGTCTGAGTGATAGTCTTGTAGCAATTAATTCAATAATCAGGCCCACACAGCCGGACGCGATTCGGCAACGCGACGCGAATTTTCAATTTTCAATAACATTTAACTTTAATATTTTTCTATGTTTTTCAAATATTCGGAACCACTTGAGCAATTTTAGCTATTTGGTCTGCATATCTTGTAAAATTTTATCCGTTGATGGTTTTATTTGGTTTAATTAAGAAACTGAAAAAATTCGCGTCGCGTTGTCGAATCGCATTCGGTCTGTGTGGGCCTTAAGCCTCCAATGCATGAACATAAACCCACACCCCACCTCAAACTGCCAAAGGGCAAAGGCTGCTTTTCCTATAATCTTCGGTTAGTCTATAAAGGTCTCTACAAGTATAGGATTGGGTCAGGGCAAAGTGAGCCTGAGGTGAGGGTAATATACCAAGTTGAGACTTTGTGACACGCGGGTGCAATAATTTCTTAATAATGATTAACTGTGCAAAAGCCTGGAACATGCAGAGCTGCATGGTTGGCTGTTCACAGTCGAGATAAACATGACCGGGTAACTATAGTTCCTGGAATTAACAGGCACAAGCCACAACTATAGTCTATAGGTTTTCCGATATAGTATTGCTATGGCCTACCTAGTTTTTCCACAGATGCTTGATGCATTGCATAACATGCACGAGATGAACAAAATTTAACTTTTATATCCACTTGCTTAAACGGGTTAAGTTCTGTGAGCAGATAGCACGGGTTGTTTTGAGATTGTCCGGGATGAATGCAGGTATCACCTAATACGGAACCACATAGCTGACAGTTTTCCAAATCAGGTATGAAACTGTTTGGCCAAATCTCACCAACACCAAGCAATGTACAAGCATCTCTCTTTGCTACTGACTGCAACAAATCATGGGGTAAAATATATGGCAAAATTTTAACCTCGGCTAAAGACAACGTAGAAAGACGTTTAGTTCGTTCACTTGAATTTACCGTAGGCCCAGGTTCTGTTGATGATTCGGCTTCAAAAGTTGCATTGTTGTTGGTATCACCAGTCGTGTCCAAAGTATTGGTGACAAAACACGAATGCAATATAGCTATATGCATGCACATTGATTTTGTTCTGACTTGCTTGCCTTTAGCAGCAAATCCTCGGCAGTCTTTTCCGGTGCAAATGAAGTGATTCAATTCAGTTGCACTTTTGCGGACATGGCAATACCCGAGAGGATTACTTGCTGTTATAGGTCCGAACGCACAGAACATTGCATCGGATACCTGGACCGCAGCACTTGCCATAGGCATAGATCCAGCTACATTTAGCACATCTTGTATGGAATTTCTGAGAGTTTCACTACACACAAAGTTATCTAAGTCAGGTTTCAAAATAGCGACCGGAGGAGATTTGTCACAAAACTTTACTTCATCGATATGACGACAACTAAACTCGGCTAAGCGTGATGAATTGTGTTGAACTGATCTTGCAATCTGGCATTCCTCAAGACTACAAAACCACAAATTACCATCAGTGGTAACAAAACAGCGATTGTCTCGTGTACTGGTTGTAACGCTGTATATACCTTTAGAGATTTCTACTGCTCTACAGGGATGGATTTACTTGGGGGGGTGCAGGGGGGTGCACACCCCCCCTAGCCCTGGCCAGGAGGGGTGCAGGGGGGGTGCTATTTTTCATGATAAAGCAAAAAATTATCAGAGACAAAATGAGATTCAGTAGCTTGAGTAATAACATGATGATAAGCGAATTGTGAACAAAAATTGCAATTCAAATACTGTAGCTAGACTTTGCAGTGGTTAAGCAAGTTGATGGATGTGTAAAGTCACTGGAAAGCAATTGCAACGTACTCGTCCGGAAAATTTTTTTCCCTAAAAAGTTGTCGATGGGGGGGGGAGGTTGTTGCTTTCCGAAAATTTTTTTTTGGCGGAGCACCCCCCCTACCAGACCATGCTGGATCCATCCCTGCTGCTCTAGGGGAATATTTAACTTTCTTGGTTGATGGTTCAAATGTTCCTCCTAGCGCATAGCCACACATCCCACACTTTGATGGCTTGTAGCGGTTAAAGTACTGTGCTTTACAGTTAGGGCAAGAACCACGGCCACGCTGACTCATTGTTTCTTTATCAATGCTGATATGTTTGCATGTATTCGCTTTTAAAATTAGGAAATTGGTACATGTGTGAATCATGAACAGGATTTATATAGAGTTTAATAGTTCCCTGATAACATTTAATCCTTCTTGACAGCTGCAATTAACACGTCGCCAGTTTTTAAGAGTAACACATTGATTAAAGTAAATAAAGGAAAGTGCCAATTTAGAGGAATTACTTTTATCGCATACCGATCACCGCTATCGTATCAATGACAATGCCACATGGTACTGATTCACACCATTCACACTGAGAAATCGTGAACTAATATTATCTTTCCTCCTGTTGCAATAATAGAAAGCGTATAAATTTTAGCCGTTTTGAGAAACGATCATCTCCTGTCATTATATCAGTTTATTGCTAAATAATTCGATTATAAAATATAGAACAGGCTTTATCCACGACCAGTCCACGTCTAATTCTACACAGTATAAATGTTTTACAATTACTTTAGTTATATATATATACGCGGTGTTTCCACAAACAAAAAGTCTTGTGTGTTTTATCGCAATGCATGCCAACCTACAAAGAACTTTATAGTACATACTCTTCACTCTGCAAACGTCACACTTATACAACTTACAGTATTTTATGAAGAGGGTGGTTATACGTTATCATAATCATTATCAATAAAAAATATCAGTGTTTTAATAATACACAATTTGTACTAACATTATTCGCATTATTCATTAATTTAGCCTATCTTCAAACGTCGCGCTTATCGTGTTCGAACCTGTAATATTGTAATGCGGGTGACTGTATTTTTTCGTGATAGTCAGTGATAATCAGTGATTACTCCATTAGACATTACCGCGGTGACAACACTCAGCATTACTGTCATTACTCATTACTACATTAGGTTGGCACACGTAAAAATTGACGTTTAAACTAGGCATAACAATAAATATTATAATAATTATGGCGCTGTTATACTAGAATGAGGTATAAATGTTGCGTGTTCGCATAAATTTGGATTGACCTAAAACAGTTTATATGTCATTTTCGTTTTCCAAAAACTCTTTGTCCTTTGACTTTGGCACTTGCTTCTTCTTCTTTGTTTTGCCTTTAGACACCCAATATCAAGACTGAGCTTAGATGTTTTGTACAGACATCATTTCAACACATACTTCATTTCTATAGCAACTTTCCTACCTATATAATTATAATTTCACAATGTTTATAAATGAATGTATGAACAGTGATATAACTAGCATAATTAAAAAGCTTATACTTTTCATAAACGCCAAGAAATGCACTGCACTCTGACTATAGTATAGAGTATAGAGTATACTCTATACTATAATCTATTTCAGAGTCATCGTCAGAAACAATGAACAAGCCGACCACTGATATACATATAAAATAACGTTATTAACTCCGAAAATATTTTAATATTCTAGCCGGACTAAGTTCAGTCATCATCAGAAACTGCTAGGTTACATTTATACATCGATACCAGATGATGACTGAATCTTAGTCGAAAGCTAGAATATTAGGCTAAAATACTTTATTTTACCATATACATCATATATTTCATCGTGTATGTCAAATACATCATACATGCATGTTCATATTATGAATGGCCATGAATACATAAAAATATAATTATACATATAATTATACATAATATGACATATATTTTAATTGTTAAAATTTAACATAATGAAAGGCTTGGAAGTTTCAATGCAAGCAGCAAAATATTTCGATATGATCACGGCTGTGTAGTATAGTGAAATATGACAAGAACGCCCTCTGGCTGATTATGATGTTCTGTCATGCTATCCTCACGCGATCTACCTTCATTTCACGAACCTCACGCAATCTTTGTTGTTATATAATTCGGTATTAATACCAACATATTCCCAAATTATATAAACCAGTACAAACTATATTTTGGACATGTTAAGATGAAAATGTTCTCGAGTGTGTATTATATAATTTCCATATCCAGCGCAAGCAGAAAGATAAAGTCTGCCGCGGCTGGGTCTTGAACCCGCGACCCGAAGGTCGCGGGTTCAAGACCCAGCCGCGGCAGACTTTATCTTTCTGCTTGCGCTGGGTATGGAAATTATATAATACACACCCGAGAACATTTTCATCTTATAAAACGACCTAGCCTACTCGTATTGACCAACTGTCAATTCATGATACGTCATAATAGAAAACGCATTATTGATTGGTCCACCACCACGACCACCAAATAGCATGATTCAGCCAATAGCGTACGACCTTTCGAACAGTGCGTTCTAACAGGTCTTTATGCCGATGAGCCGCTAGCGAGCCAAGAATGCTACGCGCGATAAAAGCTACGCGCGATAAAAGCTACGCGCGATATTTAAAACTTTGCGTAACACAAGGAACAAAACGAGATGCTAGAACGAAGATTAGACGGACTTGAAGATATTAAATCATGGTGAGCGTAAACATAGATTTATTTAACATTTTAACGGCGTAAAATAGGTATCTCTGGCTGATATATTTTTGATACGGCATCAGTCACATCAAACCCTCACCTGTATCATATTTCACAAGTGTAAATGCGGCGATTGTGTGATAATACATATTATACAATATACACACGAAGCTTGGTGCTGTCAGGAGATGGAATCTTGTAGGGATGTTCTGAAAGATAACTTCGTTTTAGAAGATGTGCCACAGCCGCCGTGCTGTATCACTCTGCACTCGGGATTCAGACCTATTTGTTTGGAAAAATGGGCTTTAAGAATTGAACTTGCGAGAAAATACAATCGTTCAATCGTTCGTATTAAATAAACGTGATCACAGAGAAACACTGTAGCTTCAAACAAGAATATATACGTAATTTGCTCTGAACCAGTCTGTTTATATTTTCTTTGATCTCGTGTCTTGTATTTTCTTGCGAAGGTGAGGGAAGTGTGGTTTTAACTCTTTGTTGTGACTGATGCCATATGAGCCCGTATCCCGCAAAATATATTAGCCAGAGATACTTCTTTTTGTTGCTTGTGTTCTGCTGAATTTCTGAAATATCGTGCGTACCATTCTCCGCCGGCTAGCGGTTCATCGGCATAAAGGCATGCATCATAATCGCCTAAAATTTCGCTATCAACTGCTTCTAGAATTCCAATTTCGTGACTAGTATCATTTGATTCACCTCTATAATATATCCAGGAATATAATTGTATTCTGAGTCACATTGAGAACTATGAGTGCTTTCCGAATCCGAGCTACTGCCTAACATGCTGGAAAATATATCAAATGTATAATGCGCGTCGAAATTAAGTCCCTTAAGCTACGTCACACCACGCTCGTCCCAGACTCTTGTTGATACGCGACAATTTTACGAAAATCGCTGTTTATAGCCTCGTATCTCGCGAATGAAAAGAGAAAACCGAAAAATGTTAAAGAACCTATTAACTAACTTTTTGTCCTCTATCAAATATCAAAAAACATTTTTTGTGACATAAGCACTTTAACAAGTAGACAAATAATTTGTTAACGACTTGTTAAATCATTGCAAAACATGTTGAGCCATTTCACATTGTCTACATGAATTAACACAACACTAATCAAATTAGACCACTGCGAGGTGAATCATTTCAAGCTTAGATGAATTATTTCACATTTTGTCCAGTCACGTTACTACGTTATGTTCAATCATTTTTAAACACAATGAATCAGTTCTGTTTATGTCCATTCATTTTACGCGTGTAGTATTTTTGGTGGTAACGGCCGCCCATAGATCCCCAACATAATTTGCCGCCGCCTTTGAAGTTTGCCGGCTAGCCCAACCATCTTAGTCTATAAACTGTGCTACGAGGCATACAGTGACTTACAGTGCATTGATAGATTAAATTGTCATAGTGTTAAAGTGCTTATGAAACGAAATTTTTACCTCATTTTTTATTGTTTGGCTAAAAAGTACTGCTAGAGCGATGAAGAATGACGTTTACAGTTTCTTCATATCTCATCTCATTCTCAAGTTATCGCACTTTCTAAATTTCGAGTTGTGACGTCACTAGTTTGACTTGAGATAATGGCAATAAAAAGAAAGTCTAGTATCTTATTGAGTATTTAATAAAATTCAATGAAACTCGGTACACTTAGTGGGTGCACTCATATGAATAGTTTTGGGAGGTTATGTGGTTGTCATGCCGTCATGGCAACACACTAGTCCCCAGTCTCTTCTCTTCTTTTTCACAAATTTCCCCTGTAGACCTCTTGCAGAGGATGTTTGCATGTTATAATGGTTTAAACTGATCACAATACCGATACGTATGATAGTAATAAGAAACAATTGCAGAAATTACCATTTATTTCGTTGGAAATGGATCATATAGAAATTGGAAGAGAAGGGACTGGGGACGAGTGTGTTGCCATAACAACCACATAAACAAGCCAAATTGTTCAGTTCGTTGCACTTACTAAGTGTGCCAAGTTTCATTGAATTTTATTAAATAATCATCAAGATATCAGATTTTCTTGTTATTGCCACTATTTTGAGTCAAACTAGTGACGTCACAACTCAAAATATAGAAATTGCGATAACTTGGGAATGAGATGAAATAGGAAGAACCTGTAAACGTCATTCTTCATCATTTAAGCAATACCTTTTAATAAGGCAATAAAAAATGAGGCGAAAATTTCGTTTCGTAAGCACTTTAAAGGTAGCTCTATATTTTAGTTGCTACGCGAATACGTGGATACGCAGTCAAGTAGTTATTTTGAGATTAAGGCGACAGTTAGTTAGCATTAATAGATTAAATTCTCATGCTATACAGTAGAGAGCTTATAAATGTTGTGTAATATGTAAATATGTTCCTCACAACCTGACATTGGTGTTTGACAGATTGTGATTAATTAGCGTCGCTAGGAGAAAAGAAATTATATTATAAAGCATACTAAGCATAATATTAAACATTAAAAGTCTTGCATGATATTTCCTTTATTATATCAATTCGTAATATTATCTTAGTAATTACTTTGTGTATATTAGAACGAGGCACGAGGCAATAAGATCTGGTGTATCCAGTGAAATAGTGGCCGGGCTGCATGATATGATATTACTATAGTGGACGGGTATCTATTCTATTTGTGGAAACTGTGGTCTTGATTGTCGTTTTGAATCTTCCAGTATTTACTTGCACGCTAGTTATCTAATTATCCTGATTTTCTTCAATTGGGATGATACATAGTTTAACTCGCAATCGGCAGTTCTTGAATAATTTCGGAACCAGAAAAATAAGTTTGTAGATTTACTATGGCATCGCGAAGCAAATCGTTCATCTTCCTACACGTGATCGAAGAAGAACAACGTGGAGTGATGGATATATGGTATACCAGTGGGTTACGCAGGGTACGAAGGGGTCCATTGATAACGCGCGGAGACCTGGAAGCGGATCAATGATGCGTGCCTGCACCCGTTTCGCAAGAATCTAGCTAGTATAATAACTATGAGATTGGTCGGGAGGCGCAGTATTTATACTTGCCAGATTACCAATCTCGCCAATCTGAGTAGCAAACAAATTATACTAGTGCCAGACTACCGTTTATCAATATA